TGAAAGTAAGCTTAACGAGGAAGTAAAAAGCAGTGAATAATTAATGAGAACTGTAGGCATGGAATTTATCATGAAGTACTACATTTGCAGCAGAAAGAAGGCAATAGAGGGAAGATGGAATATGGGGAACAAAGATAAACTTTATAATAAAGTCCTGAATTAAGAAAAGCTTTTGAAGAAAAACAAAACACTTTTTTCTTGAAGTGTCACCTCTGTGATTCTCTCCAGCTTTTTGGCTGGTACTTACCCACATTTGGCATTATCTACTTAAGCTCACCCTTTAAATAAAAAAGTAGTGAACTAGCTGTAGTAGTAGGATTAGCTGTTGTGATGAATAAGTCTGTTCAGTACTGACAATTCTCCAAGAAATGTTGGGACGGATAAGGAATAATGTTTCCTATGGCAAATATGTTGAATGGATCACCAACAAGAGTAAAGTTCCTACCATCCCTGTTGACAATAGGGGAATGAACGAAAAATCAAGCATGGAAACTGTGGAGATTATGGAATAACGGAACATAAACTGGAGGTATAGGGGACGCAAGTGGCAACCACAGCAGCCTCCAAGTACTGCTCAGAACACCTCCATACTATGCCTCTGTAAAGACAAGTCAGTCAAAGTAATAGCAAAGAGGGGGAAAACTGGGTTTCTAATAGTGTGGGAAGAATGTGACCTCAAAGGGAACGGTCCAAAGAGTAGGACAAAAAAAAAAAAGTTGTATAAGAAAGAAAAAGAATGTCAATAATGTTTGATTACACGGTGAATGAAGCGAAGGCTGGAAAAGGAAATGGGATACAGAACAAGAGTGTCAGGGAGGTCAGTGGAGATGAGAAAAGCTTAAGTTAGAACTGAAAAGGGGCAAAAAGAGCAGAACAACTGAGATGTAAGGAAAAGCATGGGGAATAAGAGACAAGATGATTTTTAGCTTCTATTAAAAAAAAAGTACCCAAGCACTTTTGAAGAGAAAGTATTAAGACTCCTCAGCAGAAAAGCTGTAAGTTTATCCTATTGTCACTACAAAAATTGAAGTATTTAACAGCCAAAACTTAGAACAGTCTCCCCAGCAATTTTTTTAAGTATAATCAAACTATCAATAACAAAAACACATAATTACAGGAATCTACAGATTTGTAGAACAAAACCAAACCAAAATGCAAATTACTTTTTTTGATACAGCCTGCTGACGATATTCCACTAGTGCATCTGTAAGAGTCTGTGTAACTTTTAGGATAAATGAAGCATCATCTTCATTCAGTATCTCAAAACTTTGCTAGGAAAAAACAAACAAACAAACAAACAAACAACAACATGACTGTAAAAAATCGTCCCTCTGAAAGATTAAAGTATCAGCATGTATAAACAAAACCTGCAGGAACCTCATTTTTTATGTCTCTATCCTTCTGTCAGACATAGCTGAAGTTACAAAGCAAATAAAGTTTTTACTTTTAATCCCATAAATTGGCGGGGGGAAGGGAGGGCAGGAAATAGAAGGAGATCCTGATAGAAGGAAGCTGCAGCTACCCAAGACAATCCTTTGAAAACAAATAACTTGAGAATATGCCTGCAAATACATACAGGAAAATGCTTTTCCTTAAGTATATTGATCTCTTCCCAAGATACCTGCATACAAATGAATACGTACAACTTACCTGAGGCAGCATAGTCATAACCCATTTTGTCTAGAAAGTAGCAAAAATCCAGAACACTACTGAATGTAAAAATACATGCCGCCTTGCCTTATACTAACCGCCTTCTTCCCAAAAGGCCTAAGGAAAAGGCAGTCTTTGAAACTCTGAAGCTTTAGTAGGGGAGCAAGTTCTACTGCTAATAGCCCTCACAAAGAGAGCTACATGTGGCATCCTCTTGTCTACACTAATAAAGTTCTGCTGAAAACACTTCCACTGGGCACAATGCAGCAGAACTGCAGGTCTGTCCTAACAATTCAAACTCTTCTGGATTAGAAACAAACACCTTTAAACACTCCAGACAATGGAAAAAAGTAATAAAAAACTAGCATTATGTTCATATGTGACAACATAACAGGGATTATATTATATTTTTAACACTAACGGTATTTCTCTCTTCTGGTTTGCACAAGTTATATTTAAAGATCTTGTCAAAACCCAGGTGGAAAAAGATAAAACTTGGGCAAGGATATCTCTGCTATCAGGTAATAAAAGAAATACAATTATTTTAATGACAAAGCTGAGCATACTGATTTTCACAGTTAAAAAAGTATACAGTATGGATAATTACTGAACAACTGGAATTATACCATGATATGAACAGCAAGTCCAAAAAAGATACTTGTAAAATTACTTTCCACTACATAAGAAGCCTTTTGAATCCAACAACAGAAACACATAATGCAGCTTTAAAAAAAAAATGACTGTAGATGCTAATATTAAACAATTTTCAAACTTTCAAAAACAGAACGTTGTTCCAATCACATTCCCAACAGTCCTCTTTTGTTCTCGGAGGACAATCATACTAAGCAAGAGGATGCCTCAAAACAAATTCAAGTTTTATTAGCAAGGTGCAATCTTTACACCTAATAATTCCCTATTAAAAAGGGGAAAAAAGATTTTATGATGGTCAACAGTGCTTATATTACCATGCAGTAGCTGAGTCACAGCAACTATCAGTAAAGACTTCCGTACAGTTTGTCACTGATGCTTTTAATAAAATTGCCATTTCTGTATGCAAGACCACAAATGTTGTTGCCATCTAACAACTGGCAACTGTTAGTTTTCCACTCTTACTGATTGCATCTGTGCTGTGAATGTGTACATAATACATATTTTCAACAACTGAACAGAACTCGGGTATTCTGCCTTTACAGAGGGAATAGGTAGATTTTTTAAGTTTATGTTTTTCAGGGGTTTTTTTTGTTTAAGTATACAACTTGTATTTCTTAAAAATTGCTTCTTTCCTTTCTGCATATCTCAGATATTTTTCTTCATTCTGCTTCCTTCTGTTATAGAATTACATCTTTCCAAGTTCCTCATTTGAAAATGATAGACCAATTATAAAAGAAAGGAAAAAAAAACTATAAAAGGTCATTTTACTTAAGCACATAATTCAGGAGTGGAGTTAAGCTATAGTTGAGAAAAATGCATTGATTTTCAATGCAAGTCATTCCTCTGACAGTAAACCAGTACTTTGGCAAAAACTCTGTCTAGAAACTTTAGAATGAATAGATATATTATAAATTCATTGATATTAATTCTATTCTGAATCCTACTTTCTGACAAAATATGTTGTTAGATTAGCAGACTGCCTACATTTTGGCTTTCACGTTACTTGCTACATTTTAAACTTAGTAATTCTGTGATTTTTTTTTCCCCCCTCAAAAATTACATTGCAAGTTAAGATTTAACACTCACCAAATAACCCAACAGTTCTTCTTGACTAGTGAATTCTTCAGGATTTGCTGTAAGTTCTTGCTGTTTAATATTAAAAAAAAAAGTCCAGAGATCTATTATGTGCAGTAATTATAAAAATTACTGTTTAATTTTAGTTATTGTGATTATTCTAGGTTCTTGCTCTAATTAACTTGTGTGTGCTTGTATGAAAGGTATACATGTGTTTTCATGACAAAGTAGGAAAAGACCTTTACTTAATAGTTTTGCGTAGTAACTTGTAGCTAATTTATTGTCAATAGTATTATTAATGTGAATAAGCAAAAGTAAACACCATTGCCAAATATATATAAAAGTAATTGTTTCCCCAACTATTTGTAAACTGGGGCAACCCGTTAATGGAAAAATATTCACCTCAACTTCCTCGTTTTCTTCCTGCGATTGTTTATTGGTCTCGCACCTTAAGATAGAATAAATAAATAAATAAAACAGTATACACTTGGTTGATCTATGAAAAATGCGTAGCCAGTCTATAACTGATAATCAGTTTAAATTCCTGACACTCTGCTACTACAGTAGTTCTGACACACTCTGAAAGGTCACATTATTTCCTTGCAGAAATCCCAGTGGTCCCAGATATCATCGTAAAAATTAGTTATGAGGGTTTTTTTTAGTGTGATTAGCTAGTACATGAGTTCTAAAACCCAGAGTTAAGAAAAAAGTTTGACATTGGTAGTAAAAGCTCTAAGCTTTTTGTATGCATTGCAGAAAGACAAGGCCCCTGATTACAATATGATTTTTATCAGTACTTCACAAACTTGCCTTTACAAAAATTCAGCTGTAAAAAGAAGTATTTTACAATGTAGCCACAGAGATACTGGGCAAACAAAGATTCATATGGCTAAAAGTTACTAACGCGTATTTGTGCTGTTCTGCAACTACAGCTACTGTAGAAGCATTCCATCCCTTTTCAAGCCCAGGAACCAGGGCTGAGAGTGGTTGGAGTTTTTTAATTAACCAAAACCATATGACCGCCAAGCCTAAGCCCTCCTCTCTCTTGAAATCTTTCTTAGGAATCAAAAGTGTAGAAAAGGAGATGATACATTTAATGAACTCAAAATAAAATAATTTACATCTTTGGATGACTGTGCAGAACTTCACTACAAAGAAATTAAGAGTCATAGAAATTCTCAGACTGATATTGCAGAATCTTTAAGTGGAAACATCATTTGACTGCTTGCTGTCAATGAGAATGTGATCTTATTCCTTTTAAGAAACTATATATTGAGTTCACATCTCTCAGAAGTCTCAGAAAAATAAACAGTAAAGGAACAAGCTGAAGTCCTAATTTAGTAACTAACTTCCAAATCAGTCTCCCGCTGAAACACCTGGCTGCTCATAGTTACCCAGGATCTATCTGAACAACTGGATTAACAACATTAAGTGATTTTCCAAAGGATGCTGTTCTTAAAACTTAAAGTACAGGACTCCACAATGAGGATCAGTGTCAGGTAGAAATAGACAGCAGCATTTGCAGATGTGGATGTCTGAGCTTTTATTAGTTCCCTATTTTTGATGTTTTCACGAACTAGTTCACTCTCCAGATTAAGAAGTGTTACAGTTCTTTGAAAGTCAGACAAATGAACACAAAGATTCATAAACCTGGACTTGAATCTGGTTTCAATTAATCCTTTTCCTTAATGGTTGCCCCATAGAGAGGCAGAAGTCCTACAAAAAGACATTTCAGGAACAAGGAAGTTTCTCCTTTTACTGGGTAACAGTAAAGAAGCAAAAGGGGTTAGCTCTCCATGTCTAGGAGAGATACTACTGGTTTAAAGATAAGAAACATTCCAAAAGAATGTCATTACAGCAAAACCAAAGAGCTAATTGTTGGAACAAAAGTCATATGTTTGGGTTGATGCATGTATTACATCCTTTAGCAAATGCTTTCCTGTGGTTCCTGGTGTTGCACAAAGACGGCTGATGTTGGAGATATCCCCCTCACGCAAAGGCTGATAGTTCAAACTAAACTCACAATACTGTTATTAATAAAGTTATTTACAAATGGCAAGCACAGTTTCACCATTTTAGAACCACACACAATACTTCTTATTGTTCCTCCAGGAAATATTTTGTAAAGATGAACCCCAATTGTTACAGCTATTTACTGATTATCTTTTCCTTCTAAAATCAGTTCATATACCACCCTAATTATCTGACATGAACCCATAACAGAGGGGTTTTTTAAACCACGAGGGAACATTCTTTTTGAACTTGTAATACATGAGGATCATGCCTTAAGGATAACACAGTTAAATACAAAAACTAGTTGCATCTAGAGCAAAATCTGAGGTCACTTTACATACACCAGGTTTTCTGTTGATGAGAGGAGTTTACAGCTGAGCACAATTTCAGAAGACAAGCATTTTACTATTATAGCATGCCTTTCTTCATCACAGCACACTATGCAAATCCAGTGTAGACAGCTATCATCTACATTTTCCTCTGAGTAAATTTAAAGGGGTTGGGTTGGGTTTGGTTTGGTTTGGGGGGTGGGGTGGATTTTTTTTGTTTGTTTTACTTTTCTGAGTTGTTGCCTTTGCTGCCTTCTTCAGTCTTGTTGCCTTTGCTGCTTTCAGTAGCCTTATTAGGTTCAACCTTCTCATCTGGTTTTGCCTGTTCATTCTGACTTTTTGCCTGCTCCTCTTGAACATTCTTTTCATCTAAAACAACAAAATCAGTATATTTAGTAATGGTTTTCCAATATTTTAAAAGTATTCTTTGCTTAGAATTTGTTTTAAAAATAACATCAGTAAAACCTGAAGATGAAAGTAAGGTGTCTTGTGAAGAAATAAAATAAAAACGGAACCTAAAAAGCAAAGATTTGGTTCAGCCATGAAGCACAAGTTTGTATTTCTGATCAGAAATATTCTGAATGAGAATAATTATAATGCATTTAGACAGAACCCTAATCTCACCTTTGACATTAAGTCTACAACCAAGCAGCAACTTCTGATGTTTCTTCAGTTACATGGTGCTCACTGATTTTTATATTTAATTCTGGTTTTGTTTTCAAGAAAATAAGCGTTAGTCAAATATTTTAGATGTCGTTAAAAAAAAAAAAAACATCTATCCAATCTATTTCCTTTTTATGCTTCTTGTGCTCTAAACAAAGTCTGGCATGCAGCTGTTCCCATTTTTTTTTTTCCTGACACCAAAGCACAGCTTATGTGCCCAAAGAGTCTGTGCCTACCCCAAAAATATGCATGGTAAAAATTTCTAATTATGAATCTTGTCTTGTTTCTATTCTAACGTATCCAGCGATGTTAAGTAAAACTACACAGTTTTCTTTGCAAAGACTGGGATTATTCTTTCCTCTGCCACAGACCACGAACCCATCCACACACTGTGCAAATTCACCTTCTATAGCAGAACATAACTATAGGAACTATAAACAGGCACATACAGAGTAAATAATTCACACATTGGTGAAAGTTAAAAGTAAAAAAAATCATTTTTCTCTTACCTTGAATAGGGTCTGGCATTTTTCCATCCTTATTTTTACAATCTGTTTTTTCTTCATTACTAAGCGACATATCCACATGCTGAACTTTAGCTTTTGAAGGGCTGTCATCTGCATTAGGATCTAAACAAACATGCTTGAAATGTAGCACAACGGACATTATCTTGATAGAGGAGGGTTCTAAAACTGCACTTCAATTTCAGCTAGCTCTGTTTCTGTGCACTAGTGGTTACAAACATTAACAATAATTTTATAAGCATTATTCTGTGAAAGCATATTAAATATGAACTACAAATTAATAACAAAGTTTTAAATATTTTATACCCTGGTTATAGTTACATACACAAAAGATGTAAATATTATAAATATAGTAGAATGCCACATAGCCATGTGCAAAATTAGACACATTAATCAATAGGTTACAGTCAAGAAATGTAATTTGACTAGGATTCAACTTATTTCAAAACACTTTCCTAGATTCAAAATGGATATCTTTCCTCTTCAGAGTAAAATCTTCTCATTACTTCTATTAAGCTATTTTAAGACACCATTTACATACTATTACGCATTAAAATTAAGTACATTAGTTTTAACTCAAATCTTTATTTTTCATGTAGGTCTGAGAATGAGAGTCTCGTAGCAATTTTTAGCTATTTCCTAAAGTGGCATGCAATTGTACTGTCTGTCCATCTGGATGACACTGTACTACAATGAGCTTTGAAAGATTAAACTGAGTGGAGAAGTCTCACAGATACCACGTTCCTACAATTTTGTGAGTAGCAGTGGCTAGTAAAACAGGAAGTTTTCTTCCACAGGTAAGAGCTATAGCTACGCTTTAAGAATTCTGTCTGGCTTTCTGGACTGGAAATTAAATACACGCATGGAGCTCCAACCTGCTCCTTTTGCCCAGTTCACCAAAATGCTCATGAGTAATTGGCACTGCAGAGACTACAGCAGTTACCAGATAAAAAGAAATCATAGGTAAAGGATCCTGGGAAGCGAGGGGGACTGGGATGGAAAGAGAGAACAAAGTCGTATAAAACAGGTCTCTCTAGTTATGTTGCCCGTGGAAAAACTTGTTCATCCATCAAATTTTCAATACAAACAGTACAAAATGCAGCTTAGAACATAAGCGCACTCTACAATTACTGACCAAATCTTTCAATTTGCCCTTAAATCAAGCTGATTTAGATCAAGGAGAGTTTATCCCAATTAGAAATGTACAATTTACATCCCACTGAACACACTTACATTCTTGCCATCTCCTCCTCATTATCGGAGCATCTGTAACAACCTAAACATAAAACCCATTTATGTTAGCTATTTTGTGGATAAAATTATTCCATAGGTATTTCATCTGAGTGAAATATTTATTTTTTTAACGATATGTGACCAGTAGTATTAAACACATAAGTGTAAATCCCTGAATGGATATTCAAAAAGTCAGTAAGTCAGTTACCTGGACACTTATTTACCACAATTTTTGTTAGAGCTAAAAAAATCAAATAGCTGGTTTCAGAAAATATAGCAGTAAAATTAAACCAGGTTATGCATGCTCTATTTAAAAGTTCCTTAAAGCAAGGATGGATTTGCTATGGATGTAGTGAAACTGTTCCTAGAAAAACAAGTCTACAAAATATAGATGGAATTAATTATTTCTATATCCATGAACATAAACCTCAAGTAAAATACACAGTCTTGAGTCAAGAAGAAATTTGTATTAAGTAGGTCAAAAGAAAAAGTTGCTGCCAATAGTCAGTTTTGGTTTTCTTTTTAAGCAGTGGTTAAAAATGGAGGATATGCAGACAGATTGAATTTGAAGATCTGAAATCTCTCCCTTCTAGACCATTCACTCTAGAAGAAAGACTTGATCTTCCAATATTTCCATACTTTTCTTGATTAGAAAAGAGTAAGATCAGTACAGGCTCTCATCCTTGAGCCTAGCTGTGATAGTATCGCACAGAAAGAAACATGGGTCTTTTGTCAGATGGGCAGGACATAAGGAGCTTAAACACAGTAACATTGTGAATTCCACTTTGAAACGAGACATAGGCTATGCACGTTAAGTAGCATTAGCAAGGATCTTGCCAAGAAGCACTGCTTAACAAGCAGGATGTTGACAGATATTGAAATTGATGGAGAAAAATTTAATGTATACCATGAAGAACACTAAGCATCTGAGTAAGCTTGCCATGAATCAGAGTGGTAAGGTACACCTCAAGAAGAAACTTTGCCAATATCCTGCCCAGATAATTTTTTAATGGTTTTTTTAAATAACTATAAAACTTCTGGAATTTTTAAAGAGATGTACCTTTATTTGTTTTCTTCCTTCTTTCTTCTCAATTGTTAATGCAACTTGCCTAACTTTTCTGTTCAGTTCGGAGCCTTTACCCTTAACTTCATCAGATTCTGCTATCTCAGGATAATGTTGTTTCTAGAAAATAAGGAAACGCAAATCCTGAAGTCATGCTTTGTCCTACGCAACGCTTTCCAGATCTAGCACAGGTAATAATCATGGAAGATAAATCAACTTTTACAAATACATAGCAGAACTTATTAAAATGATTATGTATAGAATCACATAATAATTTAGGGGAGTGAAGCCAAATCTTCTGCTCAAAATAGGGTTGACACTGAACGGGTTGCACAGGGCTTTGTCCACTTGGGTCTTAAAAACCTGTGAATACAGAGATTCCCCCATCTCTCTGGGCAACCTGCTCCAATGCTTGACTGCCCTCACAGTGAAAAACTTCTTCCTTATATCAAGTACGAAACTCCCCTGTTTGAATTTATGTTACTGCCTGCACCTCCATAAAGGGCCTGATTCTGCCTTCTTAATAACCTCCCCTGAGGTACTGGAGGGCTACTATTAGATCCCCCTGACACTTTTTCTGCTCCAGCCTGAACAAGCCCAACTACCTTAGCCTCTCCTCGCAGGGCAAGTGCTTCAGCCCCCTGACCATCTTGGCAGCATTCCACTGGACTTACTCAATTTCATCAATAACTTTCTTGTCTGCAGTAGCACAAAACTGGACACAATATTCTAGACATGGCCTAACAAGTGTCAATAACAGGGGAATAGTCACTCCCTTGATCTACTGGCTATACCCTTGTTAGTATAGCTCAGCTTGCTGTTAGCCTTCATTGATGCCAAGGTACACTACTTAAGCTTGTTGTCCACCAGGACCCCCAGCTACTTTTCAGCAGAGCAAATTCCAGCCGTTTAGTCTCCTGCCTGTCCCACTGCCTAGGGTTAATCCATCCCAGGTGCATGATGAAAGGTTATCCTTCTTGAATTATTATATTTTATAATATTTAAGAATATAACAGAGATGCAGTTAACAAGCATAAGATTCGGAATTGCAGGAAACAGTTCAAAGTAAACAAGAAATACAAGAGCTGAGAATATCAAAACCACCAAAACAAGTCTCACTCAGCATATACAGCTGAATTAATGACCAGAAACAGCATGATGTTTACGAAGGACATCATTGCAGATACATTGTAATACACCCGATGACAACATTAGCTCTAAAACTGCCTAAAAATGCCATACAAACTCAACAACTTTCTAGGACTTTAAGATACATCGGATATAATACCAACTTTGAGCAGATATTTTATGGAAAGTATCAAAATTCTTTTCAAAATATTGCTTTCTCAGTTTTGTTAAAGCCCATCCTAAACAAATATATTCAAGTAAACATTCAAAGACTGGACAGCCTCATTTCTCTAAACACACTGAAAAAAATAAACAGTTCAAAGCAAAATGTATTTAAGCATTCGTGGGCTGATGTGAACATTAAGAGCTTTGCAAATCTCCAGAAAACAGGCTTGTCCAGCCACAAAACAGGGAATAAAACTTTTTTCCCCCCTCATTCCAAGTCACAGCCTCTATCCAATACATATCATGTTCATTTATAGTTATGTTCCTTTTAGTCTAAAGCATCTGAAAGATGGAACTATTTCTTCATTGATCCAGTTCTTTAAGATAATACAAAGCTTAGCCAAAAACCTACTTCTAGTCAATTTTAGCTGTGGATTTCACTATTGGCATTACTGGTCAACCAAAATAGAATAATCTAAAAACTCAGTGTCAGCAGTGGACAGGCATACACATTATTGATGAGAAGAATTTTAAATCCATTTATCACAGCATAAACCCAGTTGCACGGTTGCAACAGAAACACACACATTTTCACAAAAGCTTATATAACACCTTTTTTTTTTTTAATCATAATATGACTAGCAAATTCTCTACTTCAATTATTACATCCAAAAAAAAGTCCTTACTCTAAAAACTTACCAGGTATGCCAGTCTATGCTTGGAACCACAAACATGCATGAACATGTTACTCAGTCCTGTTTTACAATGGCACAGTTGGCATTCATAGAGAAAAGGGAAATTCTCTTTTGATCTGTATTCAATTATATAATTAAGTCCTGTATTGATAAAAAAAAAAAGTTAGGAGATTTGATGTTTGCTGAAACAAATAATCAGTGCTAGTTACAAAAGAGACATTAAAGGAAACTATTACTATTGCGTGCCAAACACATGAATCAAGATTTTCAGAACCATCATTATTTTGTTATCTTATCTTTTGGGTGTCTAGACTTCCTCAACACCAAAGGTACAAAACTGAATTTCTTTAAGATGCCTTATGTTTACCACATAGAACTTGACTTTTTTTTTTTTTTAAATCACCTAAAAAATTAATAGCAACAATTCTTTTGTAACTATTTAGAAGGGAATGTATTTTAATATATGCCTTGCAGTTATTTTTCCTGTCCGCTCCACTCTCCCTTCCCTTCACGGGATTGGCAGTTAAATTGCAAAGAATAGTAACAATCATTTAAGTCAAAGTTCCTTTCTGTCATGTCACCCTAGATTGTTTCTAGAGCATACTTTTTACCTGTGGAATCTACCATAATAAAAAATATTCCAGGCCAAATCCAATGATTTTGTCACTAAGATCAGTCACTTTCATACCATACTATAAGGTACTCAGTGTAAACTTAGTAAGATTTTATTACACATTACCTAATTTACATTTAAAAAAACAAATTACTCAATACTCTTTAAAGATAAACACCACACAAGCAAACAATTACCGTATTAAAAACCCTCACCAAGTGCAGGTTCTGAATCTTTACATGTATTAAGCTGTTCTTCCAAGGTCTGTCCATGAAACCTCTCTGGCTCAGTTTGCACTGTAAGATAAAATCAAATTTATGTAATCCCACATCATCCATCTATCAATCAGTCTTCAAAGTCTCAAGTCACATCACAAAACCCCTCCAAAATGAAACGAACTCCTGAGTTTCACCTTTGGCCTAGAGAAAATATGCCAAGAAATTCACATTCAAGTGAATCCCTGTTCATATATGGCCCCACATCACAAATTAAGTCAGTTATTGGAAAACGTTATCCCCCCAATCTTATTTTCACTCTTTTTATAGCATTTTGTTTGCAAATACTGTTTTAAGTATTATTACAAACTATTACTGCAGATGGAAAAGACAATGAACAGAAATGAACTCCCAATGACCTGCTAAGGTCTAGACATCACTTGTAACACTGTACCTCAAAACATTTTATTTCTCCCTCTTTTCTTTTTCTTTTTTTTTTTTCATTAAACATTCTTACCATAATCAGGAAGTTTTACAGGTGTTTTCACTTGCTCCCCTGAGCCACTTGCAGTTTTAACTAAATAAAAACAAACCAGAAGTGGAAATAAAATTTTAAGTACAAAAACCAATTTGGTATGATAATGTATTTTTTTAAAGAAAACTCTTTGAGCTTTTGCTGGCATGAGAAAAATAAGCTATGTTTAGTTTTGAATGTACTATGAGATTTTTTTGGCAAAAAATGGTCAAAAAAACCATTTACTCCAAACAATAACAAAGTTATTTAATGTCAGGCAATTCGACAAAGCAGACAGAGAGGAAGACCAACCAAGCCACTAGTTATCACACAACATGAGTTCAAATACACATCACAAAATTCAGTTATTTAAACAGTGGCTTAAACTGTAAGTAATTTTGCCTGTAATTTAATTTATATAGAAGACAACCTTCAACAAGGGAAAAGCCTGACTGATTCACCACAGTGCAAATGTCTTTTATTCTATAATGAACAAAGCTGCATTTCATAAATTTCAGGACTACTTTAATCCAATACATCACAGCAATTCAGTTTAAATCCACTGAACTTGAGGTGCTTAAACTGCCAGCCCACATGCTGCCTGTCAGGGCACTTGACTCAGCCCATAACCTTCCCATCTTTTTGAAAAGTTCTTGCAGCTATCCTCTCCCCAGTCAAATATATTTTTCTATCCACATATGGCATGTAATAGGGCTGGGGCTGCAGAACCTTAAGAAAGGTAAGACAGAGATGACCACATAACATGATCTGCCATTGAGGAACCTGGAGAGAGAACGACATCTGTATAAGATGAGATTCTGCGTGTTTGGGAGTGAAGTGCCAAGCACACAAAAGAAGCAAGTTGCTATTCCTTGAATAGGCACTTAACGCACTCACTATAGGACAACAAGAACAGAATTTCAGAAATTCAGAAAGCTCAGCATTTTACTACATGATAATAAATAAATAAAGCAGTACCTGAAAAAATGCCAGCTAACGGCAAATTTCATTTTTTCATCTCTTAAATATCCCTCAACCCTGTTACTCTCCTGTTGCAAGTAATCTCTTACTAAAACATCAGATATTGATAAGAAGTTGAGCATAAGGTTTACAATAAACCCTAAACAGAAGGTGGGAGTCAGAAGGCTTCAACCTTCTGATATGTGACATCAGAAAGAGTCACATATGCTTTGATTACAGAGATAAATACTCAAGTTTTCATGAAGATTAAGTTACAAACTATATTGTGTTGACAGCTGATGAAGCTGCCAGCTCATTCCTGCCAATTAGGTTTTACTTAATGCTAGCTGCATTACCACCAACCTTCTGAAATGATCTTAATCAAAACATCAGAAGAGTAAAAGAAAAGAAATAAAGTGTTATGAAGATAAACCTACAAAGACTCTAACAACACGAATCATATTCTGGTCACTAGAATTCATCAAGTTTTTTAGTGGCCAATTAATCCTTTAAAAAAAAAAAAAGAAATAAAAAGATATGATGACTATCTGCGGATTCACCTCTGAACATTTCAGAGCATCCATTTCAGCACCATCCAGCTGCTAAATATTTAAATTTGCTTTACAGTCTGTACAAAAATTCCCAGACTGGGTAGGTGCAATGACTATGTATACTTGGGCCACAACTTTCAAACCCAATTCTAGGAGCAGTGCACTGTAGAAACCTGTAAATAGAAACCTGTTAGACCTTCATTTCTTCTGGAACTGGACCAGTTCATAAAGACCTGGAGAAGGTTTAATGATATATTAAACCTATTAAAAGTATAAGCTCTTTTAAAAAACAAATATAAAGTATATACAGAAAAAAGTATTTCTACATGCTTTAAGAAGCATAGTTTTTTAAAATATATTTTAAATCTTGAAGGTGTCTAAGGTCTTGAATTCTTTAAGGTTTCTCAAAACTTTAGGTGATTTGTAGTGCTGTAGCTAGTGCTTTTTAATAAACTTTGCATACCTCTTGCTCACACTATTGATTGATTTCTGTAGAATTAGATAGTTATGTCATTAAAGAACACAAGACACGTTTTAAAGCACAAGTCTTGAGAAAGTCTTTTTCTTGTTTGTTTCATAAACAACTACATTGGGGTGGAGAAAAAGGTATATGTATAGAACAGAGTAGGAAGTAAAAAATCTTGCACTTACCAATGCCATGAGCTTTCAGTGCTTCTTCAACCTAGCTTCACAAGTCATCAACCAACAAGGAAGACAAAAAATAACAATGCAAACATTTTATTATTTATAAAATAAGTTAGATTAACACCAACACCACAGATTCTCTCAGGTGAATAGATAATTACATGAAACTTGAAAGAGATCTACATCTTTTTTCCTAGATTGTCTATGATTTAAATAATTCCATTCTGCATTTATTAACAGCCATGTATTCTCATGTATTGTCTTTACTAATCCAGAATACAAGACACAAAGTTGTAACAACATTTTCTGATAGGACTAATGTACAAAACTAAGTTCTACTTTATTGCAGTGAACAAAATAGTAAAGCAACAAAACTAGCTAAATATCTGAAACTGCACGTTTTAACACTACATTAAAAATTAGATTTCAAACCCGTATTCTATTGCTAAATAAATCTGTAAAATCTGACAAAAGGTACATTCAAAAACTGATCTTACCGTCTTGTGTTTGAATCCAAGGAAGTGAGTCTGCAAGTTTAATGCAGAAGCACACCAGATTTTGCAAATCTAGGTTAAAGAGAAAAAGTATTTCTAGCATTGCACACAAACCAACAGAAAAAAATACCACCGATATCAAAACAAAACAAATCTGCTACCAAAATGTCAGTATATGTAAGTTCTACAAAAGTACTGTTCCTCCAAAGACAAACTAAAGCAGCTTCTAGATCTTTTCTTTGTGAGTCTCCAAGACCACCCAAATACCGTGTAATGGAAAGGAATCTCCACATCACAGAAAAATTTCAGATGTCTCCAGAACCCTGCAGCTATCTCATAGCATATTTTTGTGTGAATAAGTAAAGACAGATCCAAGATCTTCCTCACAAACTATTAACCGGTTAAGTCTGAACTAGAGGCAAGGCATAATTGTAACAAGCCAGTACACCTGTCTAAGATGAGCCAGTTGTCCTCAGTGCTGCATCCAGACTAACACACTCTCATCAGTTTGGGGCCTGCCTCACTCATGTGCATGTGAAGTTTTCCAGTCACAACTGGTCTATGCCTGGGCTGGTTCAGAACAGGAGCAGATTAGGTTTAAATTCATGTGAATGAACAAAGGCAGTCCAAATATTTTCTCCTCCTCTAAAAAAACCAAGATGCTTAAAAACAACAGCAATAAACCTGAGAACCAGATAAATTAGGAATTTTTTTTTCTGAACAGGAGCTGCAGTTTAATCTTCCACTTTAAAAGAATGTCTTTATTTAGAAACATAATATTATTAAAACTATTCATTTTAATAAGTTGGTTCCTGACATGCATCCAAGTCAAACATGACAAAGACAGCAAAGTAAGTTCAACTCCAGTGCTATTTATCAATTTTGCTTGAGAGAAAAAAAAAAAGTTCACACTTGGTTTATGCCAACTTTGTTCTACCAAAATTATTTTGTATTATGTACAGTTTTCAGAAAGGAATACTTACATTGCAGTAGAAAGGGTTTACTTGCTTCTTTATCTCAGCTTCAGGATCCATATTTGATCTTTATAAGGAAAATCTAGGCAAATTGCAAAAAGATTGCAAACTATTATTTTAGCCTCACAAAATCATTCATATTCTTGTTCCACCTATTTAAAGGTCATCCATACTCCAATTTAAATTTGTGCCTCACCTTCAGTTACATTCAACCTTTAAATCTCCAGGCTAATAATCATATTTTTAACTTGAGAGCAAAAGTACGGCGTGGAAAGAAACAATTCTTCTCCAAGAGTTTCCTTCAGGAAACACAAAGCCACCAGAAGATTACGCACACCCCGAAACAAAACTAATCCGAATTATTTCAAGCTTCCCCCTTCTTCCCGGGACCGAAATGCATGCATGGGCTGGGACAGACGACACACAGCGGCAACAGCCAGGCATGCAGAGAGCAAAGTATGCCTTTGTATCAAGAACACGACGGGGTTTTGTCAAGAAAAGCACATTCCCACTCCGGACCGCGGCGGTGAGGTGGGAGGGGGGGCGAACCTACAAACCCCACGGGAACAGAGACGGCGAGAACGCGAGCCAGCCCCCGTTCCCAGCACGACGCGGGGAAAGCGGCCTTGCCGACACTTCCAGCTCTGCCGGAGAGGGGACGGACACCTGCTATCGCAAGGAGCCGG